TAAACATAGGTAAGTCGTAAGAGGGGCGATTAGCGGCATTAACGCTAATAACGACTAAACGATTAACACTAGGTATTTCCTGTTATGCTTTCGCTCGAAGGTGCCGGGGTTACTAAAGAACAGTTTCGTGTGTCGTAAGCTTCTTTGTGCTTGTAGGACGTAGGTTAAAGAAGTAAAAACTGTTGTCGCGGCTCGCTATACTAGGTGGCTCGTAACGCTAGGATAGACGTTATTAAAGACGCTACATGTAATTTGTGAGTATTCTAGTATGTGCATCGCGCTGGCGTAGAATCCAATCGTTAAGCGCCCTTTTATAGGGTAGGCGAAAAGTATGCTATTGTTAGGACTCGGGATCTAAAGCAAGCTCACGGCCCGTACAGCGCGCGCGTCGAGACCCTTAACACTCTTTACGTGGTATCTAATGACGTCGTACTTGTAAGCGTAGCACCCCTGGAATAGGACATCTTTCGCACACATATAGTGGATTCTGCGTTTCCATTCGTGTTTATTATTAGTGCGATACTACGTGTCGTTCTCGTCAAACCTTATTATACGCGATCTAATATCTCTAACCGACGATGAATTTTAATCCACCTGCTAGTAGGCCGTCTAGAGTTGGGCCCGCCTTCGGTACTAGATTGTTAGAGAGCCTGAGTTTCTAGGCTATGCATTTTTCGTACTAAGCCTCTCTTAAGGACACCCAACCTTACTACGTACTCTTAACCTCGTAAAAGATCCAGAGGGCGTATTTGCTATCGGCCATACTACCTAGAGCTCCGTTAAAACTTACTGTTCGTCTACTCTCCTATCTTTTCGACAACCGCTACGAATTAGGATCGCTATAGAAACGCCAACTTGTTTAATATTCTCGCGCAACTCTACGGACGAAGTGACTCGTAGTTCACCCTTTAAGAAAGAAGAGAATTATCTGCCGATACTAATGTTAGCTTGGATATATGTCCTATTAGCTCGTTGGGCGGAAACAATTGCGGAATGCTGTTCGATAACGTATACGCAAGCGCATTCGATGTTGGCCGATTCTTTAGAGGGGTATAACTCTGATTAGAGCAAAGCTCAAATTCTCCTTAAAGATGCGGACCCGCCAGAGGCTCGCTAGTAGGCAGCTGTTCTAGCGACAGGCTAGGGTTGGGAAGCCCGCATATGCTGCCAGCACAAGGCATACATGTCACCTTAGTCAATCAAACATCGAGCGGATCGTGAATTTGTGGTACGGTATGCGGGAGAAGCTCTACCTTCGTTTTGCCCAGCCGCATTATCACTTAACGCCATTAACTATTTGGACAAATTCTGCACAGATCGTGACATAATCAACCAAAGTCACGCTGCGTTAGCGGCCGTTCTTTTGCTACCTTCAATGGGTAACGGAAGAACTCTAAATCTGCCTGGTCCTGAAATTACAACGCTGGAGCTCTCACGCTTATCGACCAAACCCACACACCGCGCTAGTCGCAACATACGACATGACTGGGTGCACAATGACTACAACTTGGATAGGCTTCTGACGCTTAGCTGCAACGTCAAGGGCATAAGGCCTATGCTATTAAGCGCATTCTACGAGCCTAGCATTGAATGTAATGCTGTTGCCCCGTGGCTATAGGGAACGTTGGCAGCGATCGACTATCTCGTGGGCTCCGATCCATACATAACCGTCCGTCTGTGCATGGAGCGAGCTCCTAAGGTAGCATTCTTGTAGCTGGGCATCTTTACTTTAGGCCTTTATCGAAGCTTAATCCAAGAAGCTCGTTTTAGACAGATACCAATCGACCTGAACTCCGCAGCATGGTCGGAAACGGCCTAGTCTTTCATCCAGCAACGCGTATCTGTACCTCTTGTGACACATGGAGTTGTTTCGCGAGCAGATGAGTGCAGACTCCTCTTTCTCGCCCAAGCGGGATCCCATGCTCGTTTACCATTGTGTTAATAGCAACCATTCGGCACGACGCCTATAGAAGACACTAAYATCGAGGTCCGAGTCCACTAAGCGTGCGGCGGTTATTAACTTCGGTGCGAAGGTGTCATTTGGCGATACGAGGGTAACAAGGAGATATTCCAACCTTCGTATAATCGCACAAACAGTTTAAGCCTCCAGAGCGTCCCGCAAGAATCAGCATGTGACGATGCATCTCTTATCCCTATCCGCCCTAAAAGCTTCAACCGGAACAGAGAAGTTATCTCGGAGAATGCCACCCGAATGATTTTTGGATGGCTTCGGAGCGATGGACACGCACTTCATAAGACTGGTATATGGAAACACGAATGGTTTGACGTTTCCGACTCTGACGACGACGAGGACGAAGTCGTTAGTAATGAGAGTGCAACTAGCAGATCGCGCTGATCAGAAACTCAGGTGATGTCTTGGCTCTTTGATGTTCGAACGGGGGGGAATAATTTGACCGAGATCTTGCGGCTGAAGATCTATTTCATGTCCGTCCTCTCCCTTAAGAGAGTTGACGACGAACAAGTCTGTTAATTGAAAATCACACAAAAGTGGTACAACCAAGACAATAGGCTAAAAAGACAATCTTCGTGAAGATATGCATATACTCTACACAGAAGTCTCTTTTTGGTAAGTCTTGCGTGCAGGTCTTCATCTGCCTTGGACCAGAATCTGAATAGAGAAAAAGTTGGTTAGTCTAGTCCAAACTCTCGAGCGACTTCATTTCACGGTCCGAACGGACACACACTGCTACTTATTGCGCTGTCCATTCTTGATCCCTTCATCTTTTGTTGTTCCGTATAGTAAACATCGTGCTAGAAGGGAYACGTTCAAGCCAATACATAGAGTCGAACATCTCAATTACTCACTACCATCCGGAACTGAGGGAAATGCTGACCTTAAGTTGTAATCCATATTCAAGAATCAGCTGCACGACGGCATTGGCCTTCGCCGGCATGCAAAGTATTCCAGCCACCAGCGCGATCTGACTGTACACAGCAGACACGGCCTTTCAGCTAGTCCATATCGCCCGGTTTCTCCCTGCTCTCCCTGCTCTCCCTGCTCTCCCTGCTCTCCCCGCTCTCCCTGTCGACCTTGAACGCCTTGCATGCCTTGTAGGCCCTGGAAACCCTGTGGGCCTTGAGTGCCATTCATGCCATCCCGCCCTGATAGGCCATTCTGGCCTTCTGTCCCATCTCGGCCCGGTTTCCCTCGTGAGCCTTTCTCGCCATCTCTTCCGTCTCGTCCATCTCGCCCATCCCGTCCCCGTTCTCCTTGTAGTCCCCTCTCACCAGCGTGTCCAGGGTCGCCCTTGGGTCCTGGAGGTCCTATCTCGCAATGTCCGGATTCAAGTCCGCGAACACGCTCTTGAAGGCAGACAAATTCGTTTTCAAGCTTTCGAAGCCCCGCTGAGGCCAAATATGAGTTGACTGTATCCATGCTTTGTGCCCACAAAATAAACCATTGCTTCACTTTAAAGAATCAAAGAGCCCAAGTAGCGACAGCACAGCTGTTGAAAATATGCACACTAGCATACATTGCATGTCAACAGCAAATCGAAGCTCCTCCCAGAAGCCGGTGTCTAGGATGCGCATTCATTCACCAATCGAGGAATCAACACTGACGGTCGATGCCAGGTTGCAAACAGTCTGGACTGTGTCGATAGGTTCGAATATACCCAAGAGATGCCCCGATGTCGTCCACTTATAGCCGATCGAGGACGGACTGCCACTAAGAAAGTCGCCGATACTGCAGATTGACCGATGATGCTGCCGATGCTAAACTGAACTGTCTTCGGTGCCGTGCTTCAGGTGCGTGCTCCTCCAGCTGATACTGGTGTACGCGAAGGGCATTCCGCAAGTGCTGGAGCGCCATCGGCGTGCTATATGTCTGAGGCTCCCTCTCCCGTGAACCTGGTATACAGTAGCCCGCGCTGCATGTCAGTCGTGATCTGCCATCCTACGTTTGATGCATCTCGTGACAGCGCTTGGCCGGGCGACAGGATTGAGTGTGGGAGCAGTGGCGCTGCGCACGCCGCCAAATATCGGAGTCATTGCTGGAGGCGTACAGTTWCGATGCTGCTGATTTGTCAGAACGAATCGCACCGAACGTCAGCATGTCGTGCGACATGTGAGCGCCAAAGGCTGTTGCTACAACCTGGCACTCAAGACCTCGCTTGCCTTCAGTGGCATGTCCACAGAGTCGAAAAGTCTTGGCGTCACGTGAGACAGCATCGCCTTGCGCTAGGAAAGCTCGCTGTCAAAAGAATCAGAAGCAGAAAACCAGGAACCAGTTCCAGATTGCGGGATTCCGAAATGGCGCCAACGGATCCTTTCGGGAAACGCCTGCCAGAGAACCTGGAACACGATGGCGGCGTTTCATGACGGTCCATGTGTCGCGTCCCAAAATAGCTCGAGGGGTGTTGTTCGTGACGAGCTCGCCACCCCTCTTCCCCTTCTGAAACGACCTGCCCCTCCCAACTCGACTTGATGGTCACACAGTGAACTCTTCGACCTCAACCATCATGCCGCCAGTGCGTGTGCGCAAGGCGCCACGTTGTATCCTCACAAAGCATGGTGATGGCACGACTGGCACCGCTCCTCATACTCCCCTTCATCTTAGCTTCCTTCCTCCCACCACGCTGTGGTATCGTCTGCGTGGACGGCCGACCAGGAGAGAGAATGCCATCAAGCAGCAGTATCTCGCTCCAAGAGAGGAGAAAGCTCTTGTGAAATTTCTCCTACGCATGTCCAGCGCCAATCGTCCGGTACCAGTGAAATTTCTTCGTTCACTAGCACAAGTGATTCGACGGCAGAGGTCTTCCGCATTCCAAGCCTATAGTGAAGACGACGACATTAAGCTTCCTGGGWAAAACTGGCAGCAAGGCTTCTACAAACGTCACCCAGAGCTGCRAGCTCAAAGGTCAAAAGCAATAGCATGGGATCGACACGAGGTCAACATCTATGAAAAGGTAGCAGAATGGTTTTCTGTGATCGGGCAGGAGCTGCATCACCCAGCGATTCTTCAGGAAAACGTCTACAACATGGACGAGACGGGAGTCCTACTCAGTGTACTAAATTCTCTCAAGGTTCTTGTAGGCAGTAACGACTTGAGAAAGCATAGAGGTGCAGGCGTTCAGCGAACACTAATCACAGCAATTGAATGTATCTCTGCTGATGGGAAATGTCTCGACCCACTAATTATATGGCCGGCTGTGGCGCATCGGAGCACGTGGACAGTACATCCTACGCCGGGATGGCATTTCGCATGCTCAAAGACTGGGTATACGAACTCAGAAATCAGCCTCTACTGGATCAAGAATGTGTTTGATCCTCAGACACGTGAGTGCGCGAATGGTAGTCCTCGAGTGCTGATCAGTGACGGTTTCGGTACTCACGAATCGCTTGAAATCCTGACTTACTGCTTCGAACACAACATCATCTTAGGTCGCCTGCCTTCACATACCTCGCACAAGCTGCAGCCGTGCGATATCGGTGTGTTTGGACCTCTAAAGACAGCATATCGTGAGCAGGTTGAATTATTGTACCGTCAGGGATCGAATGCGATAAGCAAGCAACACTTCACTCTCCTGTATAGCCGCGCACGTCAGGTTGCTGTCACATTACGAAACGTTCGCTCAGGTTGGGCAAAGGCTGGTCTTTTCCCATTCAACCCCGACAGAGTTCTAGGTGATATGCCAAGGCCAGTGCTGGAGCCACCCTCTTCGCATAGCGTCGTGCAAAGCGAATCGAGAGTTGATGACCTCAGCCTTCCACTTGAGACCCCTACCACTGCAACATTCTTAAGCAAGCTACGATGTCGAGTGGAAGGTAGCATTAGTCCACTTGATGAAGACTCTAAACTCTGTATCCAGAAGTTGGCCAACGCAGCGGAGGGTGCTTTTGCTGAGCGTGCCCTCTTATTAGACGAAAATCGGGTGCTGTTCGAGCAAAACAACGAAAAGACAATCAGACAAACGACGAAGACGACCGTTGTCGGTAAGGCTAAGATCATGCGATACGAAGATATTGTGGAGGCGCAGAGCAAGCGCAATGAAAGAGAGCTGAACAAAGCGAGAAAGAAATCCGGGGAGAGTACGAAGAAGCCGGGTCGGTCACGCGGGAGCGAAGCGGAAGAGGCAGAGGCTCAGATCGCAGCTATGGGACTCTCAGACTACTGCTTAGTCCTGCAGCTGTGACAATTTGCTTAATGATGGGATGTGGGTGCTCGGGGGATGTATGATAGATAGAGATGGCAATTGCTTCGAAAGACAGCCCTCTAATTTAGCATTCACCTTGTTATCAATAAATTGAGTTAAAACATGAGACAGCACTACGATGGAATGTTTCTCTCGTGCTTCATGTGCGCTGTGCGATCATCGTTCTCCACCTAGATCCAGATTGCATCTCTTTTGCATGCCTCGCTTTACGAGGATGCTGACCCATTGGTATGAGGACTACCAAAGGTCACATTACTAATAGGAGCGTGGCTGACCCCGATACCGAACCCGCCTGTGATGGATGCAAAAGACACATTCGTAGTCCCCTCTGCTCTTGCACCGAGCTTCTCAATCTTTTCATCCTGGAGCATCGACTGCAGCCGAGCAAACAAGGCTTGGCATACTTCTAGTGCGACCTTTTGCTCCGACAATTGTGCCTCCGCACTGATTCTATCATCCTCTTCGTCATCACTTGCTAGGCTAGTGTCTGTCACGGTCAGCTCCGTGAGAGACTGGCTGACCTGTGCGATCTCGCCATCGCTCCGTCTTGCGACAACATCCAAGTCGGTACGACTGGTGGCAATTGTATTCTTAAGCTCCTCCGTCATATGACCCGTCCTCAGAGAGGAATACCTGCGCGACGTCAGCTCTCGCAGGATGGTCCCAGACCGAGGATGTATGGACAGACAGTGTTCCCATCCCGGCTACTGAGGAGCAAGCAAGTTTGCAGCTCTGCAGATGCTCCGACATGGCCCTGATTTGCCTCTCCTTGAAGAACCCGACATTAGCGCGGTCTCGCCATGACAGGTCTCCGTCGCGCGACCGACGGGTCCATCGCTGCAAATCGTTCCGGAAGTTGTCACAGGCCGATCCGCAGGTCTTCACTGCATCCTTCAACTGCTCTGCCAACGCCAAGCCGAGCGAATGCCACTCAGGCTCTGGTATGGCTTTGAGAGACTCGAGGGCCAGGACCGCAGAATGGAGATCCACTCGAAGGGCTTGAATCGTTTCTGGCGCGTTGGTGATCCGCTTCACATCGTTGATAAGGACGCGCGTACCGTGTAAAGCCGGAACAACGATACCAACAACTCCCACCGCAATGCTAAAAGGATCGGCCATGATTGAATTGTTTGGGGCGGGGTACTACTCGAGGGAAAGATGGAAGTCGAGCAATGTCAGCCGCGAATGCCAGAAGTGACAGTGGCTAAGTCTGCACGCGGATGCGCCACCTGCAGCGTGACGCAGCCACAGCCTTGTCCACCACTGACCTTCTCCTGTGCGATCCGTATGATCACGACACAACCATGGCGCAGGGGAGTGCGACAGTATCGTTCGAGCGGATCGTCGGCGGCATCGGCATCGGTGTGGCCAACGCGCCAGTCACGACGATGATCCACCTCCCGCCTGGTAAGGAACCCGCCTGGCAAACCGCACAAAACACTAATCTCCATGCCCGTCAGAACGCGTGGAGATGCCGCCGAGCCCTTCTTCGACCGTACCCTTCGTCCACGACCCGGACTATATCGACCGGCCCGCGATTCGCGACGAGATTTCGAACAAGCTATCGGGGCCGGGAGCGAGGGTAGCGCTCGTAGGGCTGGGAGGGGCAGGGTCCGGCATACCTCACCCTTAAACAGACACACGCTGAGACAAGTACACAGCAAGACCCAGCTCGCCGTCGAGTACGTGCGAGGCGTGCGTGTACAGTCGCCGCAGACATGGGTGCTGTGGCTGTATGCGGGCACGGCGGCGCGCTTCGAGCAGAGCGTACGGGACATCGCCGACGAGACGAAGATCTATGGCAGGCGCGATCCGAAGGCGAACGTCTTCGAGCTATTTCGTAACTGGCTCCGCGATGCGAAGAAAGGCAGATGGGTGATGGTGCTGGACAATGTAGATGATGCCAGCTTTCTACTCACACCGCCGGGCTCCGCCGAGGACGGGCAGTCGAGACGACTGATCGATTACATACCAGCATGCGAACACGGGTCTGTCCTGATCACGACGCGTGGCAAGAGCGCGGCACGCCGACTGGTGCCTGGCAGCCAGATGATTGAGGTGTCGCCGATGGAGAACAGGTATGCGCGGGCACTGCTCGAGAAGAAGCTAGGTGTGGAGGAAGGTGGAAGCTATGAGCAGCTAGCAGCGGCGCTCGATTTCCTGCCGCTCGCGATGGCGCAGGCGGCGGCGTACATTCACGAGAGGAGGCCACGGTGCTCGGTAGAGCAATATCTCCAGGAGCYCGAACAGAGCAGCAGATCGAGGGCGAGTCTCCTACGGCGCGACGAGCGATTTCCGGACCGAGAGTACGACAAAGCGAGCAGCTCGATCCTGGTGACGTGGCAGATCTCGTTCGAGCATATTGCAGAGACGAGACGGTCAGCGGCCGACCTTTTGTCGGTAATGAGCTTCTGCGATCGGCAAGCCATCCCGGAGATCCTGGTACGAGGCAACGATGACGTTGAGGGAGTCGACAGTGGCTTTGAAGACGACGTCACGATGCTGCGCAACTTCTCGTTCATCTCGGCTACGACGGATCGGTCGAGCTGGGAGATGCATCGGCTGGTGCAGGATGCGATGCAAATGTGGCTAGAAGATCGCAGCAGATACGAGCAGTTTCAAGATTCCTTCCTCTACCGCCTTAATCAGTCCCTTCCGACTGGCGGCTACGAGAACTGGGCGAGGTGTCAGGTCCTTTTCCCGCATGCAGAAGCCGCAACAAGGTGCGAACCGTCAAGCACGGAGGGTGTGTCGGACTGGGCGGCGGTCATGTACAACGCGGCATGGTATGCCCAGCTGAAGGGCCAGTGGGCGCAAGCAGAGAAGATGGCGGTAGCTTCTTTGCAAGTAAGAGCGACTACATTCGGCGAGGAGGACGAGCGAACAATAGACAGCACAGCGATGCTGGGAGGTATAGTGCGGGATCTAGGGCGATGGAAGGAGGCAGAGGAGTTACAGATGAAGGTGATGGAGATGAGGCAGGCGGCGCTGGGGCCCGATCATGCCGACACGCTGACCAGCATGGTCAATCTCGCCGCGACGTACCGCAATCAAGGGCGGTGGAAGGAGGCCGAGGAGCTGCAGTTACGAGCCGTTAAAGGCATGACAAGGATATTAGGAGAAGACCACCCCGAGACAGTCTCTGGGAGCTTAGGGTCTACCCATCCGAGAGAAGCATATCGGTATTGAACCAGCGTCCAGCAGTTGGATTCCTGGTCTAGAATATCTTGTAACTATAATACTTCCTTTATTCTTCCTTTTATCAGTTTCGCTTAAGCTGCGTAGATAGACATATAGATAGGTCGGATAACTAGTAGTACAGTTTTGTCGTTAGACAGGAAGTACGGTTACTTATTACGCACTTGCATTTTATAAACTATGCAGATACATAGACAATAAAATATGTAGCTGTAAAGATTGGAGGACTTGCATTCCTAGGGAGGGCTTTACCTGTTTGTTCCTATAGTTAGCACGTTATAAGGTCTTAAAATTAAAAGAAAAAAAGAAAGCCGTACTAGCCTCGGATGCTTGCCCTTTTTGCCTTAATAGGACGAGCAGAGGTGCTATTAGAAGCAAAGAGCCTAATAAAAAGTACATACTTGTTACTAATCTACTACCTTCTTATTCGCCGAGTAGAAGAGATTATACGTAGAAGCAAGGTGGTTTTTAAGATAATCTTCGCCGCTAAAGGTAAGTCTATAACGAGTAAAAGGGCAATCGTATATAGAGGTGTTGCTAGAAATTAATATAGGATCTAGCGTAGTAAGTCGGTCTCTAAAATAAACACCTTCGATGTAGTTCCGTAGACTCCTTAACTAGATATAACGAAACTGCCTCTACTTTATTAAAAGCATTATGTCGTAGAGGCACTACGGGCATTAATTACCGTCGAGACGGTCGGTACTAGGTTCTAGTTCTATATCGGCGTCCTCGGAAAATGTATAAACTCCTCGCTACCGGGCTACTTATTTACGTTAGTATAGACCTATTATCGTAGTTAAGGCTACTACTCGCCGTTTAACGACATCTACTAGCGCGAATTTAGTAACGTCGTCGTTCCTATAGAGGATTTCTACGAGCCGAGAGCGTTCGTTAAATTKATAAGACTTTAGTTGCTATAGCGGTTAAGAAGGCACGTTTTACCCCGTCCTCTACCGGTAAATCTTACTTATACCGACCGATGTAAAATGCTCGCTCTATCTTACTACTAACATCTCCCTTCCCGTCCTCTTTCTTACCGCTAATAGTTTCTTCCGAGTAATAGATAAAGGCTCCCCGGTACTAGCGTTATATACTCGTTTTAGGGTACTATAGACTTAGATTAGATTTTGTTATAACGAGGCGACTTCCTTATAGAGAGAGCGGACGGCTAGTTAACTATCGATATCTCTCTAAGTTAGGCTTTTAACRATTTCYRATATACGGGGATCGCGGGTTAAACTAAGGTAACCGGCGAGATTTAGTACCTAGTCTTAGGACGCTATACTAAGGAAAGCGGACTCTATRTCGCTCGTAACTATTTAGTTCGTRTAAAACTTGTCGTATATATCTAACCTACTATAGCCTATCGTACGGTTGCGTACCGTAGCTRTTATCCGAGCTATAGAGGATTAGCGGTATATTCCCTCCGTTTCCTCTACCCGTGTCCTAAGCTTACYRTTAATCGCTTCCCTAGCTCCGCGTCGAATCTAGTAGAAGCGGAAAGGGTCTTTAAAACCTAGCGCTTTACTAAGTCGCGCGTTCGATAAGCGAGCTTTAGAGTATTTCTATACCCGATAGCTCGCGTTTGAACTTCGAAAAAGGGGTATCTAAAGCATTTCCGGTTTCTACTCGAGCGGTATAGCCTATAGGCTACGTTCGTTACTTACGTTAAAAGAGTAAAGGTCCCGAGCGTCCGTTATCTATAGACTTTAGAAAGCCCGGTCCGCGAGGATAAGAGCAAGGATATAAAGGATCGGGTAGAAGGAAAGATTATTATCCCGCTCGTAGAACGYATACTTCGGACTATAGAGGGTAAGCTRCTATTCTAACTCGAAAACGGGACAACGTACGCGAGACCTTAGTTCCGGAAGCCTTTTATAAGCCGAAGGGTTAAGATTATAATAAATATATGCTCGTCTTCTCGCTATAAGTACTTAATCTTAAATAGTTAAATGTCCTTATACTTTAGAGAATCTACGATAGGTTTATAAGAAGTGTATTAGCTAGGAAAGTTGCATTCGTCTTCGTTAATTATGTCCCGTCTAACATACTTCTTATTTTTAATAAAAGCCGATAGGAGGCCCGACGTATACGCTATAAGTAGTAGTAGAAGCGGGAGTGTTAGAAAGTGCAGTTATAGAATAGCTGTACATCTAACATAACAGAGAGCTAAGTAGCTATAAGGTTATATAACTCTATATAGGGTAAAATCTCTTCTTAGGAGATAGAGACACATCTCTAGATAATTAACTT